TTGGTTCAAGAACATTTTGATTGTCTATCAATATGGGTCTCTGGAGAAATTATTACAGAATTGGAATTGAAATTGAAATCTACTACAGGGTTGGCATTAGAACCGATCGGTACCTCATATCAGAAGGCATTAATAAAGTTGAAGAAACATTTTCATGAAACTTTAGAAATACATTCATATTCTTTTAACTCTTGCCTCCTAAATAAATGAAAAAACGATAATGATCTTTGCTATTCATAACACATTTGACAATACGATATCAATTATTTGAAAATAGTAATTCTCAACTATATTTAACATCTTACACAAAACATTGACGTGTATTTAAATTGAAAAACGTGTACTGGTAAGTGTCAGGAAACTTCAGGAACCTCAGGCTCTGAGATATTTTGCGTACAGGAAAATACAATATGTTCAATTCGGAGTGATTGCACTGTCATGTCTGAATGGTAATCCAGCAACGACAATTATAATGATAAATAATTTAAATGAAAATCTTATGTTTTTCTTTTTTTAAACACGTCGATTCACATGTCTCTAGTTCGAGGCGTCTTTACGAGCTCCAATAATTTCCCTCGATTTTATTAAATAATTAATTGGTTTATTTACTTATTACAAAGACTGCAGACACAATGAACGTTGTTCCGAAGCCAGAGTCTCAAAACGGCCGCCGTCGTGTCACTAAGTTGTAATGATGTTGATGTAATGATGCTGGTGGTAATTGTAATGGTAATGCTGAAGCGGTGTTGGTAATTATGAAAATGATATGAGTAGTGAAAATGAAAATTGCGGGCAGAGAGGCAGAGGCGCCGGACATCCCCGGCAAAATCTCTCAGGCATCCGCTTCGCCCACAGGAAATTCCCCTTGCAGTGACCGGGATTTGACCCAGGGGAACTAGAGAGCCCTCGTTGCCACTCTACGACTTGCCTGCTCTTCCAGACATCTCTGAAAGAATCCATGGGGCGAGGAGCAACCCGAGGACAGAGTGAGTGATTTTGTTAGATGTTTCCGGGCGCATTAACATCTATGCTAATTAGTCCCGTAAGTGTAGTGCTTGTATTAACCAGGGTGGTGGCGATATTTTTCCGCCGACGGAACGCGACATACACGTCGGATTTAAGAGTTTCCCTGTCCTGTTCTGGAGGTATCTCCTCCAGAGTGTCAGCGCCCCAGCCAAGAAAGCTCTCATCTCCCAACTGGTCTCCCGACATGTGTTCGTGGTATAGTACCTGTAAGCATAAGTGCGTGTACGTAAATACTGAGGTTAGAACACGGATGGTCGCGGTCCGTGGGCCGTTTGTTACGCAACTTCTCCGGCAGTCTTCTGGTAATGATCGGAGAAACCACGGAAAACTACCAACGAGAAGGCCGCTTGAATTCTCCTTCGGTCAGCGGCATAATTTGACCTTGCTATGTAGCCGGAGCGGGACGACAAGAAGTATGTTGGGAGCGGAAAGGTCAGCTCTAAGCCGCAACTTCTCCACTTAGGCACACGCGTTCGCGTCCCGTGCCGCGCGCCGCCGTGGCTATCTGGTGCCGATCCCGCCCCTCTGCGATGATTGATTGATTACAAGTGATTCTTGGCGCTACAGCTAAGGTCACTAGTCCCGTAAGTGTAATGCATGTATATTATACTCGGAAGGTTGCAGTGATCTTGCCCCGGTGGATGGCGTGATCCGGCGCTGATCTATCGTCGGATAGCGGAATTTTCCCTAAGCAGGTATCTCCCGCTAGCAGGGCACCATCCCCAGCCGGGACTAGCTCTGAGCCTCCCGGTCGGTGTGCCGACATGTGGCGTAGTGTAGTCCATATAAGTGTAAGTGTGTTTAAAAGGTGATGATAGAACAAAGAATGGGAAGGAATGATCGCGCGGTCCGTGGCCTGTTTGGTAGGGTTCCGCTCCGGCATTCGCCTGATCGGAGAAATCATTGAAAATTACTGATCAGAGCAGCCGAACACTGTAATTCTCCTCGAGGCACCCACTACACTCGACCTAGCTATATAGCTAGTGTAGAAAATCCTGCCACTGTCGGGACTCGAACCCCAGAATATCCCGGCCAGAGGCACTACAGTGACATGAGTTGATGTCCTAAGCCATGTGTCCCGATACGTCCCTCTGCTCATTCTTACAAGTGCAGGAAGCCGATCTGGCGAGGCAGCTTCGTGATCTTGTGGCCTCGCGGTCGCTAAACTAGGCCCACACGCTACCTTTGCTCCGCTGAAATTTAATTTTTTTAGCTAATGCTCCCACGGTGCAAACTGCTGAGCCTATTACTTTTGCAGATGAGTCGAATGCGAGATCTCAGTATAAAGGCGATAGAATCAACGAAAATCTTTTTTATTTATTACACATTTTTAAAACTACAAAAATACTGAAATGTATGGAATTTAGTTATAATTAAGTTCATCCAATAATCTGTAGAGTTGAATTTTGCGCGATAATTTGTAAATATTTCAGAGAGAATGTTTCTAATGGATTAGTAGTTTGTTAAATTGTTTACAAACCTTGCTGATATAAATACTGAATTCACGTTTGCATTCCATTATAAGTAGTGGTGCAGTAATTCCGTGCTTTTGGTACAAGTCGATTATTAATAGTTAAATACGTTCAATGAAATGAAGTTGTATATGATTTTTACTCAGTTTGTCGATGTTGCTTATAATTTCCTCTAGATCGGTTGGCAGGGTCAAAGCTCTGACTCAGTAAACCTAAACCCACTACTTCAAATACATACCAATGGTAATGAAACATTTTGTTTATTATGATTGAATAAGTGGAGTGACATTTTAAATATTTTCATTAATGACATCTGAAATGCATAACTTAATCTTCTCATTTAGGATATTTACCCCATCAACCTTACCAGAACGAATACTGTCTGGCAGGAAGAGGAATCCCTTTCTGAGAAAGGTCAAGAGCGGCAAACGTCAATCAGAAATTGATAGTAGTTAAATAGAATGTCAACGTATAAGTGAACAAATTTCACTAATAATGCGCATCTGGTCTAGAGAGGCACGTCTCAAAAACACTAACATATTTTTAAAACCTCGTCTAGAGGTTTGTGACGCAGCCAGAACTTCTGTAATTGGCACTATTCAGGTAATATAAGTAGAGTGGATGAATCAACGCACGATATCTTCAGATCTTCATTTAAATAATTTTGAACAGTATCAGTTTACTGAATGTTACAATTTACCATCTACGTTTTTGAATTTTCCAAAGCATTTATGCTGAATAATGTATTTTTTTGTAATTTATTAACGACTACGTTAAATAGCGATGTTTTGTTAGTTTGCAGAAACGTACGCTGCTCACTGTGGAATGTGGGTGCACAGAAAATCCTGACATCTTGCGCTCTTTACTATCGTTTTCAAAGATATTGTGTACAATTTTACATCTATACATATATTTATATATATACACACACGGTCAGAGATGTTAACTGAAGATAATCTTCAATATTCTTGCATGACTACCGTTACTTGTACATTTTATTAATTTTTCTATTCAACATGACAACCACCCCAGTTTGTGGAACAAATACAACAGTGAATTGAATGTAATATGTTCTACATACAGTTTAATTTTACTTTTATATTCATTTTTATTTTACTCATGAAATGACATGAGATGATAGTGAGTGTGAACAGCGGCGTAAGGAATGAAAAATCTGTTTTTACAACAGATTTTTACAAACATCGACCAGGATTTACATTTCAACTTCCAACAACTACATCCACCCTTAAGTTACTAAAAATCCATTCTCTCATACGAAACATTTTCCGTATCATTTCTTTTCGTTATTCCTTTCAGCAAATATGCATTAAATAAACATCAAAGTAAGCAAGTGATTTTCTAATGAATTTGTGACGACTTCAATGTGAAAAAATAAGATTACCTTCACGTATTTTAGTAATGTACTGCTTTTAGTTTCTGCTGTGTCAAATTTTAGTACATTCTAGTAGTGCAAGTTCGGTTCCTCGTAATTGCGTTCGAGACATTTTAAAATTAATTTATTGATGGGAACTACACTTTCACAAATTACTAGTTCTCGTTCCATAATATTTCACAACCATTATTAAACTCCCTCTGTATCATTGCTAAACATTGAATATATTGTTTCTTGAAATTGTTATTTTCAGTCAAATAAAAAATGTGACTTTGAAAAACTGTATCTTTCATTTTATTACTAACTTTTTTTGTGACTCCCCTTCTAACAGTTAAGCGATGGAAATGGGAGGAGGAAACCTGGAACGAAATCTTCATTTGACCAGGTACCGTAACGCGCGGTGCATAGAACGTAGGTAATTGCTAAACATTTATTTCGTTCCATTCCGCTTTCATTTATTGAAATGTCAGGAGGATTCTTCTGTTTCTGTGATGTCATTTCCTTGTGCGAATTTACAATAATTATTGTAGGTCAGAAGGATGATAACATGTCGTTAAATGAGACACTCCGCTTTATAAACATTTGAAGAGTCAGGACCAAATATTTAAAGAACGTTTTATATTGTTTAATATATATGGCTACCTAAATTTTATTTTCACGTTACGAACAAATCACTTGAACTTGCTTATTATGTTTCTTCAATTTTTAGATGACATGCCAGTGTGAATTTGCTTTGTAGTATATCTATCACTAAGTTATAAGAATAATTGACATAATAGTTTTTGCGTTTAGGCAATAGTAGTAGCATGCACACGTTCGTATTACAGTGTTGATTTTATCGGGAACTACAAACAATACATCCGATAACTAAAGTATATTTTTGTGAATATTGAAAGCAGTCACAAGGGAAAAATTGTTAAAATGACAGAATAATAATTTTTTTGAATTCAATTTTTTTCCGAATGTAGATTTCTCAATAATAATAATATAATTATAATAATAATATAATAATATAATAATATAATAATATAATAATATAATAATATAATAATATAATAATAATATAATAATATAATAATATAATAATAATATAATAATAATGATAAATATCATGATTATAAAATACACGAGAAGAAATTGCCATAGACTCGCCAAGTTTAGATAATTACTGTTAAATTTTAGTCACGTTAGTGTAGTTTAAACAAGAAAAATTACACACCAGCACGATAACTCGTTAAAAATTATAATTCGTGATTTACAATGTCAAAACACGCTGCGATATCTAAATATTTCTTTATTTTTCTATTACGATTTAACAAAATTTTATTTCTTGGTAAGTTCTTTTAAAGCATTTGTGTTTTGGGCGAACAAAATTTGAATTATTTGTTTAAAAATGCTCATGTCCGTACACAACTCCAAGGGCTAAAAGCCAAAAATATATTTCCTGACTATTTTGTATTTTCTGAATTTTTGTCGAGATTTCCATGCTTATTTGGTTACCACCTATGAATCTGTTATTTTTGTCCAAAAATGTCAGCTAATGTTGATCTTCACAGCGCCTGAGGAGGCACGTGTCCCTGAGCGTCCTTCAAGACCTAACATTATAAATTCTGGGTGACTAACGGGGTATCTTTGACCTATTGTTTTTCGAAATTAATGATTCAGAAGAAATCCAGTCGGATCACACAGGAAATCTCAAGCCAGCGTATTGTATAAACAAGTTTCTTTACTAGTTTAAATTACGTTGTAAACTTCAACAATGCACACATTAAGTAAACTATCAGTCACTGCCGCTGAATTCAGTCTTCGGTAATGTTAAGTAAAGCCATTTATCTACTATGTTTACGATCGATTAATATAAAGGAAATGCATTTCGTATTTTCAATTCAGAACTTCCTATCTTTATGGGTTTCTACATTGGGGACGATAAGTGTATCGTCTTAAGAAATTCAAAATGTATTTCTCTACACGTCACTAATGAGAATGTCCAAAGTGACCGCTTATGTGTTGAATTTGCCCTCGGATGAATCGGCAAAATGGCTGCCAACTGATTCAACCAGTGCCGCAAAACTATTACTGTGGAAGCAAAATACTGTTAAAATATAACTATTTTTACAAAGTAGTAATATACAATTGAACAGACATTTTCTAATCCAGAACATTTAAACAATTTAACAGAATTTTACTTCACTTCCTCTAAGTCCAATGTATATGATAAGGGTTTATACATCAGACTTAGGATACAATGTTTGGGCAAGTTGCAAAAAGGAGGTCTACCTGACTATACGTTGAGTTCAGACATAACTCTTGTCAAACGTGTGTTATCATACTGAAATATAATTTACATCTCTGAATACATTAATCTAAATGATACATTATTTAATATGATATATTTAAGTAATTTTGAATTTTTTGTAGCAGTATTTGTGTGAAGTTGTCAACACAAAAAATAAATTAATTTATGTCTGAACCCTAACACCACAGTCAAAAACAGCACCACTTTCATCCACATATTTTTGAGCCTTGTAATACTTTGTACTCTCCGACACCTTTAATATTAGGCCTTATTTTAACATATATCTTTACATTGGCATTTATACCTATCCTTCCGCGTTGGGAAAAGTCTTCCTCATCAAACATTTTGCAGGCTCTTTCAACTCACAGCAAAGCTACCGAATGGATATTTCATGTTTACTGGCAGTGGCACAAGTGAAATTCCCAAATGCATTTCAGCGAAAAATAAATTTAGATAACACTTGCCAATACCTATGGGGTAGCTTCCTTCTACAAAATTAAGAGACCTGCAAAATCCAGAAAAAAATCCTTTCTTCTACCTCTAAACAACTTCCCTACACCAAAGTTCTATTTACAAAGATATTATGAAGGTACACAACTCTCTCCTCGTCAATATTGACCTCTTTTTTTCCAAAACGAGAACCTTCTTCAAAAAGATCCTCTGCTCCTCCGGTTCATCCGAGGTATGGGTCCGCAGTCAGATGGATAAGGATTTCATTAGGGGTTGGGCAAAGTACTGACCTCTTCGCTTCATAGTTGACGTCATAGGGCGAACCGGGGTCTGCAGCTTATGCAGACATTTTCTTCAAACCGCTCAGCTCCTCAACCAGCGCCTCTTCATTGGAGACAAATCTCTTAAACTGTCGAGGCTGCATCTCTTCTGTGTTGGAGCGCTGAAAGAAGAAAATGAGAGTTTAGAAGTTGAATATTAGTCTCCGAGGGACTGATGTTAAAAGGCACGTGAAAAAGTGAGGACACACTTTTAACTATTTCCATAATTTTTTATTATTTCAGAAGTATTGATTAATAGTTTTCTGTTGTGTAAGAAAATAAGTCTAATTTAGTCTTGTGACTATCGAAATAAACTGTATTAGGAAATAAAACTGATTGTATATATTGCAAAACCAAAGTGTTTTTTGCGCTAATCAATAATCGAAATTAATATACGTTCTGAGCCATTAATTTATTTCCGTTAAAGATACTTGCAATTTTTTCTCTTAAAGTGCTATCTTCATTAACCAGAGGCGCACCCTGGACTTTTCTCGGGGGACGAGGGGCGACAAGTATAGGTTTAATTCGACTTGATATTTTCTTATAAATAATTTTTCATTTATGATGAATATAAAATGTGTTTTTATTTGTTGGCTTGTAGTTAATGTTTATAACGTTAACAATCGATTTAGTGAAAGAGTGTAGTAAAATTAGAATTACAAAAGTTAATACATTTTTTTTGGAAATCATTTCAGTACATAGTTTCAAAATGTTACAACATACCATCTGACATTAAACTATTTAAAACGTTAGGAAAGTTCTAGTTTCTACAGTATCCAAATATAACTCTCTAGTAACTCACAGTTTCCAAACAACAGGCATGTGTCTCATTCTGCAATTTAGAATCGATATTTTATCATATGATGACAGAATGTCGCCGTGAGCGTTCGTTAACTGTGAGCTGAGACCTAACCAGATGCAATTCTTACTTGCGTTGAGGACTGAACAAACAAAAAATGAGGCAGAGGCTGACGGGGATTATTACTTTTTCAGATATGTCATTCGATAAAATAATTCAGATAAAATTCAACAAACTCAAAGGAAATTTTAGATGTAAACGCACCTTTCTGCGTAGCGTTAATATCGAATCATAAAAGCCAACAAACACAGTAACAGGACGAAGGCAATGCAAACAGATGGCGTGAGCTGGTCTTCATTTTCTGTACGTTATTCGGTGAAATTCATCAGGAGACAGAAGTGGGTTAACTCATTTTCCAATAAGCAACGGTTATTGGATAACGTTATTGGACTCGCAAGAAGGTTCAATTTGCCATGAGTCAAGGAGATTGCAGTTTATTTTCCAATTCCGATTAACCAATTCTTATTACTCATCGAAAAGTTGTTTTGCTTTTACATAAACATTTGAGTTTCCCGTATGTAAACACTTGTCAGAAAATACGTTGATGCATTTAACTGGTGGAAATCATTACTGCCTGAAATTTACATTTGCTAATTTGCGTGGCAGCCACGTGGAGGGCATATTATACTCTTTGAAACGAATAGTGTATGCGAGTAGACATTTGTTTGTTCCAACTCAAATAGTCAAAGAGAATAGTGATTAAGTATATTACATGGAAAATATCAAGAAATTGAATAAAATAGCGTACGCTATATGCACGGAAGGTCTTCACAATGCGAACCTCGAAAAATAAATTTCGAATCGAAAAAGAAAAAAAGAAATTTCGTTCCGCTTCTTCGACACGGAAACGGAAAATATATACTTCCAGATAACGGAAGAGGCGAATATTTCAATTCATATTTAAAAACTATTCGGGTTAGGATCAGAAACTTTCAATTATTTCGGTACAACTGAAAGACAAAATTTCGAAGAAGAAACACGACTCATTTGAGAAATAATTAGTAATATAGGAATGAACTCTCGAAAGTTGGAGGGGAAATGATGATTACATTATTGACCCGCTTATACAAAATAAGGACAATTAATGGTAGTGTTCCTCGTGATTAGAAAAGGGACATTGTAGTTTCAATATTTTAAACCGGATGTGGCTGTTGCAATTCTAATATCTGTGATTTGCGAAAAACTATCAAGCATCTGATGGCTAAGTTTTTGATACGGTTTGGGAATAATTAGATTAGTTATACGAAGGTGAATGTTGATTTCGAAAATTCGTCTTGTGTGAAAGGCAAATTATTCGTCTTTTGTGGAAAGCAAATTATTCGTCTTTTGTGGAAAGCAAAATATTAGTTTTTTGTGAAAGCCAAATTATATGTGAAGATATTCCTGAAGGATTAGTATCGGGAAAGAGAATAGACAGAATTATTATAGATTTTTCAAAAGCATTTGATCTTCTTTCGCCCGATATATTACTTAAAGAAATTGCTAAGATCTATCTAAGAAAAATATCTAGTTGACATGCGCATAGTACAGTGGATACTCGAATTCTTAATAAATGATTTTCAGCGAGTCCGAGTTGGTCATTAGAAGAAACATTTATTACGCCCGGAGGCCCCAAGGAAGTGACAGAATATGTTGTGACAGTACTGTTATTTTTGGCTTTCATCAAACACCAGCTATTGCGTTAATAACCAACGATTGCACAACGTGTCGTCGAATAAATTCGAAAGATTCAATTTCCATGATTTAAAACGATTTAGATGGCTGTCATTTTGTGGCTAATGTAAACTAAATGAAGATAAACGCCGTAGAAAGTAAATCACTGAAATTTTCTGTAACAAAAAACCTTTGCTTGGAATACCACATGTGAGCCGTAGACGTTCCACAATCGTCTTGTATATATCTGGGCGTTATAATACGCCATGAACTGGAATGCGGGAAACACGTTTCTTTCGTTGCCAGAAAGCGTGGACGTCACTCCACTTTGTACTGAGAACGTTTTAAAAGGGCGACTAGGAGAGTTTAAATAAAGGATATAAATAGTTAACCAATAGATGAATGTACGTCAGCTGGTTGAGACCCCTACGGTTTGCCCAGATTGAAGAGTTAGAAAAATGAAAATTCAACAAAACCTATAGAGGCGCTCAATGGGTAAAGGACAATGCTCATTGTGCTGACTCTTCAAGACAGACAGAAATATGTCACCTGCGCGTAGAAGTAAACAAGTCTGGACATGCCTTCGAGAATGGGAAGATACGACCACAAGTACAAAATAAAAAAAAGTGTAGCTGGAAACTGCAACGTATCAAAATAGGTCTGTAAATCGTGCGATTAAAAATTAAAATGAAATTCCTGATACTATCAAAGAGCCTTTTCTTGGCTCTCTTGGTGTAAAGAAACTGAATAACTACATGTAGTTGATGCATTTTACTACTTAGTTCAGTTGTTTGTCAATAATTGAAGTGATGAAAAGTGTAGTGTAGTGCAATGAACTGCCATATCAATCAAATTATATCAATTATTTGTATGCATAACCGAAGAAAGTGAAAGTGTAATGTAGTGAAGCAAAGTAACAATGTAAGTGGGATCGTAATTAGGATATTTTAAGAGGTGACTTAAAATCAATTTTGTTATTCTGCATTAACAATTGTACGGGAATAAATTATCAACATTTTACTGGTTGATGGATTAGGCAATCGCGACTATGTAACTGGATGTATATGTACGTACAAGGGTATGATTTGTGTATATGTGGAGCAAGTACACTGTATCAGTTCTGTATATGTGCATATGGATGTGTGTAAATGTAGATGTGTGTATGTACGTCCAATAGGTGTGTGTGTGTGTGTGTGTGTGCGTGTGTGTGTGCGTGTGTGAAGGCATTCATATGTATGGTATTCGATAAAAGAGTGTATATATGTATATGGTTACAAAGGCGTTTGATTAATCAAATGGGTTAACGTGTAAGTCGGATAAGTAGTCTGAAACAACTGTAGGTATGTGTAACTCAAATTGTGTATGTATATGCAAATACAGAATGAGTATGTATGCATTATGTTTGTATGTATGCACGAGTAGACTTTGTGTGTGTATAAATAATGATTTTTAAAATTATTACTAACATTTATTAATATTTGGGTGGGCATGTGTATACATACGTAGGTGTTGTACCAGTATTGAACTATCTTTTGTTATGTAACGTGGCGGAAAAGTGACGTCAAAATTTTGACGAAAATACGTTTTGGATTTCATTGATTCTGTACTTTTGTTTTCAAATTCTATCCATATGTTTGTCTGTTAATATTACTAGTGTCCAAAAAGTACACAGAATATTTCCCAAAATAAATGTCCCCCGATCGACCGAAAACAGTACAGATCACTGAGTATCACGGGCATTTTCTTTCCTTTCATCGAGAGAGTAGGGCGTGACACTACCACCGAGTGTATCCAGTCTATCCCCACCGCCAACCCGTCTCTTCCCTGGAGCTTTTCCGCAGCGCGTGACGTCAGTGACGCAATGACGTCATAGCCGCAGCGCCCGTTCACGCCGCAGTGACGTCACCGCTTATGTTGAGCCGCGTCAGACCAAGGCTACATGCCGGATTAAATCAGTCAGCGTATGTGTACATTGTCAACTTGGCCGACAGTTCATATACTCTTGGTATCTAGCAGCTGGAGCGAGGCACTTGCTGTGAAAATTTCATGAATGAAGCTGCGCAGAAGTCGGCATTCAATGAATTCTCCTCCGCTAGGACCAGGGAGGGCGAGCGAGGGCGCGGGGCTCGGGACGGTAGGCACACGGGGTGGCGGGGCGAGGGCGAGATTTTGGCAAGTTGCCCCTCCACTCTGCGCCGTAGCACCCTCCCCTCCAGACCCCTCCAGCCTTCGACCTTCCCCTCTCCCTACCACTTTCCGCTCGCACACATGCACGAGCGCGGAGCGGAGAAGCAGGCGAAGAGAGGAGGAAAGGAGAAGAGCGAGAGAGAATCGGGGCGAGCGCCGAGAGGGAAGGGAACTAGTTTCAAGAGAGGGAAGCTTTGACGTCATCGCAGTGGGTTTTATGAATGGGTGGGGTGCGGTGGCGGCTCTAGTGACTGGAGGGGGGCGAATCGAACCCGGCTCCCCGAGAGAGCTTCGCAGTGCCTGCCGCCGCCGCCGCCGCCGCCGCCGCCGCCGCCCTCGCACTTCCCCCTCCCTTTCCATCCTCTTCCCATCCCCTTCCCCATGGCCCATTCACTGCATTGCTGCACACTTTCGTCCCTCTCCTATAGTTCCACCTCCTTTCGTTTTATTTTAGACTTTAATTCTTTCCTGCACTCTATTTTTGGAACCCGAACTTTTGACTCGTGTGCACGTTGTTTCTTATTGACGTTTACATCAACGGTACTTTCAGGGCTTCTTTCCGCTCTCTTTGACAGACTTTTATACTGTGGTGAATTGCGTCACTATGTAGTGGGAGTCGGATCAGTGATGTGTTTGCAGAGAACGAAAGTTCTCTGGGAAATTGAAGAATTTATTTTCCATCTCTTCCTAGCGGCGGGTCAGTTATTTCAATGCGCCTTCTTGCAAACAAAAATATTTTGCAATTATAGCAAGTAATGTAAATATGAACTTTGTGTTAATGAAAAAGTATGCTTTACGATTTCATATTGGCTAATAATTCATGAACAATACATTAAGTATTTTTCTGTAGAAGTGATCAAATGTATCAATCATTCAATATTGTTTTGAGAATAGCTTTAACATATTTGTTCGTCTTTACTGTCCGGTAAAAATTAGCAGTTTAGTTTTGAAAAAATATTTAAACGTAGGGTGTTGGCTTTTATCTTTTATTTAGTTTTACGTTACACACGGTAACAAAATTGCATGTGCTATAGGAAGGAGGAATATAATTTATGTTTACAGAGTTTGTCTTGACTTGTTTAGAGTTATTTGAGTTTCTGTTCCACACCCTTTCTCTTAAGTATCCAAGAATAATATTATGAACTAGAAAACAACGAGCGTTTTTGGCAAATTTTATAACAAGAAATATACCCTCCCATTTAATACAAAATATTTGCATTGCAAAATGAGGTTCAGATTGTGCTATTTGTTCAGACCAGGTAGTACATTTTTTCCAAAAGAAGTTTAATTTAAATAAACAAAATGTAAAAATGTTTTTCACCAAGAGAAAAAAGTTTAACAATTATTTTTAAATGACTTTCAACGTGGTTGAATGCTTCTAATGAATGAACACGAAATCAACTGAAGTATTACTTTTAATGAGTTCATTTATGCCCCACTGATTTCACAAAATCGATGGTAATGTGGACGCAGACAATTAGCTCTTTGAGTATACATGTGTGATGTAACATTTCAATGGAATTTTTGTCATTAAGTGAATTTATTACTAGACGTATAATGTCACCAATTTAAAAAGAAATACAAATAATACTGAAAACGGATGAAAATATTTTAAGGAGCTTTTTATGATTTAATCGAGCACAATAACGACATTCAGATGTTAATAGCCTTTGTAATTTCAAAATTATACCCGTAATGACAGTATGCTTCTAATGCGTTTATTCAGTACGCTTATTAATGCATTTTAGGGTTTGGTTCAAAATAAGATAAATTTTTGACCTAATGGGTGAGACTATTATTTTGCTACAATTTATTAATACTCTTTATATATATTCTTCACTAAGATCATATCGAATAAAGGACAAAATGGTACAAAATAATGAAATTAAAACAAAATTCAGCCCAAATCGCAAGCTTTTAAAGCGTAACAACCTTATTTTCATTTGAAATTTGTGAAATATGTGAGATCCAGTTGTATTTAAGCTTTTACTGCAAGAGATGAAACAATACGCTTTGTTAAAATGCAGATACACAGAGAAACTGTAAAATCATATGAGTAAAATAAAAATAGACATGGACATGAAAATACACATGGAAAAAGGGCGCGCATGCTTACTGCTTCCATTTAAAATATATGTTTTGGTATGGGTTTGGGTTTAATCAAACGCGTAAGGCCTATTCGGGGATAGTCCCAGCCGTAAATGTACTATATGATCCCCATTTTACACATTTTTCACAATTGAGCAATTTGGTTATCTTAATTGATTCTGACATTTTACGAAATCAAGATTATTGAATTTTTTACTTTTTATGAAGGAGAGCTAGTCACTTTCTTCGTTACAAGAGGTTTCAAGAAGAACTCGCAAATGGACATGATACACTTACGTTATGGTATGTTCGACTTATTTAATGAGGATGGAGGTGTCTATGCCTTTACGTAAAACACATAAAATATCAATTCAATATTATTTTCGCCCGTACCCTCATTTATAATTATGGAAATGAACAATTTATTAAAGTGGTTAGGCGGAAGAGTATACCTTCGATCTTATATTATTATGACTAAATATCTTATTTTCTGTACTTTCTGCATTAAAATTCGCTCGAGCACTCGTTCTCGTGGATACAAATTAGGATGAATATTGCTCTCTAGACAATTTCAATTGATTAATTTCCCATTACCAACACATCGCTATTTATGATCTACACACAGGAATAATAATAACAACGATAATAATAATAATAATAATAATAATAATAATAATAATAATAATAATAATAATAATAATATTTTAGTTGATCTTATCGTATCATAAATTCACGACTTAAAATGTTAGGTAGAAAAAATACAAAAACTACTAGTTTGCAACCAGAATCCCAAAAAGCAGATGTAGTGACTACAATATTTTGCGCAGAACGTGGACTGATATTATTATTCCTCTAATTCACGAACAAAGTTGTTATGAGTCGGTTGATTATAAAGCCTACGACGGGGTGCAACCAGCTTTCTAAGAAGTAGATCTAGGGAATCTCAATGTCTCTACAATACTTTGCGCAAAATGTGGATTATTCCCAATAATGCAATTTTTTATTATTATTATTATTAATATTATGATTATTGATATTGTATGTATGTACTTGGCGCGACGGCCCATGAACGGGCTGAGGCCTACCGTCGACCTCGCGGCCAGGCGTTAAAGGGGTACGTATGGTTAGCAGGTAAACAACCCCACGCCGTATTCCGGACTTATCAACGTTAGAAGTGAATTTTCTTATCATCACACAAAAACATATACTTAGACATTGCAAGGAAAACGCGCACTATAATCTTGACTCGACGACTATAATTATTATTATTTTTATTGTTGTTACTTTTATTATTAATATTATTGTTATTATTGTTGTTATTATTAGCGACGATTGTCTTTTCCGTGGCAGTGCGTTGAGTGACAGCGCGAGCGGGGCTGGAGCCTACCTGGGCGGGGGCGGAGCGGGCGGTGCGCATGGAACCGGCGGCGGCGGCGGCGCCGGCCGCATCAGCCTCGTCGTCGAACGGGCGCTCGTCCTTGCCGCGCAGCTTCTCCTGCATGTTGATGAGCTGCTTGATGGTCTCGTACACGGACTGGGCGTGGCGGGGCTTCTGGCTGTGGGCGGCGGGCACGAAGGCGGGCAGCGCGAGCGGCGGCGGCGGCGGCGCGCGGTGGCGCACGGGCGTGGCCGGGCGGGGCAGCGCCACCTCCTTCATGCCCTTCTTGCGGTCGAAGGCCGGCTGCTCGGTGGGGGCCGTGGGGGTGAGCGGCGCGGCCGTGGTGGTGGTGGTGGTGGTGGTTGTGGTGGTGGAGGTGGTTTCGTCCTCGGCAGCCGGCAGCTGGTTGGCCCACACGCTCGCGTCGTTCTTGGCCACGCGCTGGAAGCCCGTGCTTTTGCGGTCGGAGAAGTTGAGGGTGATGTCCTTCTGAGGCACCCACTCGCCGTACTCGGGTTGCTTCTTGTCGAGCGGGCGGGCTTGACGGTATTCGTCGGCGTAGTCGTCGGCGCGGTCCTCCTGCTCGTCGGGCTTCACCCAGCTCCCGCCTTCCAAGGGGAGTTCGGTGTCGTAGCCTTCCGCCGCGACGGGCTTCAGAGTGTTGAGGAACTTGCTGGTCTGGTCCTTCTTGACGAGCGACTTGAGCGCGCGAACGTCTTCGTCCTCGGAATCGCGGTCGGAGCGGTAGTAGTCGGGGTCGGCGTGGGCGCGGATGTCTCCGTACACCCAGCCTTCTTGCTCGGCGGGGTCTTCCTCCTGCATGGCGTAGCCGTAGGCGTAGCGCGGGTCGGGAGCTTGGTACATGGGATGGACACCACGGGCAATTGCATCGTTATACATCTGGCTCAGGATGAGGTTTTGGAGGAAAATGGCGTTGACGTCCGCCATATCTTGTTGCTGCTGTTGCTGTTGCAGCTGTGTGCTTTGGTGAGGGGAGGAGTTTTCGAACCAGGTTTCTTGTCCAATAGGGAGCGCTTCCTCACGCTCTTCCCTTTCTTCCTCCAGCTGAATCTCTTCTTCAAGGTCATCGACTGGATCGTTAGGCTCTTCATACCCGTAGGCCGCGTATGGGCGCTGCTGAGCACTACCGTAGTAATAGGGCATCAAAGAATGGTGATATACTGGCGCGTACTTACTGCTGCTGGGATAATAATACGGATAACTCGCAAATGTTGGTTCACCGTAATAATAGTCGGGGCTGTCGGCGTATTCTCTTGGATACGGGTAGGTCATGACTGGTTCGGTGCTGTAAAACAATAATAAAATACATATATTCAATTATAATATCAAGCAAACACTTACTACATAATCGAAAATCTCGTATGTTTTTCATATTCATTCTTTACGTGTTTACTGAATTGACTGAGCAACTGATAACTGAGATAATTGATTGATCGCGATACTGAGTTAGTTCAAATTTAGAAAAAGGAAACGGAAAACGCTTTCTGTAATTAAATATGCGTGAATATCTTTACAATGAATATTTCCATTTTTATTTGATGCATTCATAAAATTTCCATTTTAAAAATATCGTTTTAATGGTAACTGTTTCGAAGTAAAACATTAACTCTTAATTTAAATAAATACTTCGTGGGACAAAATATTTTAACGCCTCAACACTTGAAGACTGATTATTTTCACTGGAGATGGGTGAAATTGAAGGGAGTTTCTCCTTGGCATCCTAGAGGCTCCCCGCGGTACCCGGAAACTGCGACTCCATATTAGCCACCAGGGAGCGCCATAACTGTCTCGGTAATATTTATCCAGTTCTTGGGGTGTTCCCTGGCTACGCGAATATGGAATGTGATTGAGACAGGAAGACTCGGAGGATTTAATTTTGACGGGCATTTAGGGCTGTATAACAAGTTGCAAATGCGACGTGGCCACTATGGATTTTCCGCCCTTCCCAATGATTGATATGGCAGTTCATTGCACTACACTACACTTTTCATCACTTCAATTATTGACAAACAACTGAACTAAGTAGTAAAATGCATCAACTACATGTAGTTATTCAGTTTCTTTACACCAAGAGAGCCAAGAAAAGGCTCTTTGATAGTATCAGGAATTTCATCCAAGATAGAATCAGCACTCTGTGAGTGTAGAGGTTCGTGAGTTACTCGAAACACACACCTATCTGTGCTTTAAGAACAAAAAAATAGATAGACAAGAGAAAATAAAAACATTCACATTAAGTGTGAAAAATATCTTCTAATAGCGGACCCGAGTAACTCGGCTGCGGATCAGCCATTTCTGACGCTCTTCCCACACATTCAGAGATGCGTTGTATAAATATATAAATAAACATATAAATAAAAGAAAACGAAATAACAAAGATTACAAATTAAAAATTTCATATACAAAAATAAATTTTTGTTTGTTTGTACTTTATTCACTGCCGTTTCGTTTTTCCCATTGTGCTAACACAATGATTGTACTTCTCGAAGGTTTTAGGCATGGTACAATGGGAATTTGCATATGTCTGTTGCAAATGGACGCAAAAAGGGGGCGTGGTAGATTATGATGACTCAAGCTTCTCTGAACGGAAGCTCTAAGCAAACCGACCCAACCATCAAGTATTAAGGGTGTCTTCGCTGCATATTCTGTCCCTGTGATTGTGAAATATCGGCCGGAATTATTACATGAACGCCATCTCGTCCAAGTAAATCAAACTTCTCCAACACAGTGTCATAGCGAATGCATGCTTCAACTTGAGGGAGAACTTTTTAAAAATAGGGTACTACTTGACAACCATGCCCAAACCAGGGCATGGAATAAACTCACATTCGCGACAAAAAAAATATTTTATCTATTGAAACGTTTGCATAGCATACCGTAAAACATGAGACCAGTAGCGTGTGAAGTGTAATACATTGCAATTCCGAAGTATTGCCTAGACCAATCATGAAAATTAAAATTAAAAATGAAACATAAAATTGAAAAATAATTAAGAGAAATAAAAAGAATTAAAAATAATATTAAATTAAATATATATATATATATATATATATATATATATTATATATAATATATATATATATTATATAATATATTTATATATATATATATATAATAAAAGTGTGATAACACCACCAGAGAACGGCTCTCACCTGTAGTAACTGGGGCAGGCGCGGGAATGCCATACGCCGTGTGGGGTCTGCGCGTGCGGCGGAAAAGACTGCAAGCATCGGCGCGGGCACGCTCGCAGGCGGCGAACCGCGGCCGCGGCGGTGGCGGCGGCGGCGGCGTGGAGGAAGTCGCGGCGCCGTGCCGCGCCCGTAGCGCTTGGTGCCGAACACAGGGTAGGCAGACGCCGCGTTGGAGCAGGCGGCCGTCGCCACCACCAGGGCCATCAGCGCCCCCAGCGGACGCAGCGCCAACTGCTGCACCATTCTCCCACCTGCCGCACAAGTGGAGGTCCGGGCTGGACTACTTTCACGGGGAAAAGGGGGTAACATTCTTTGGCGGAGATGCATTTTAATTTTCCTAGGCTCGCCGTGTTGTAAATTGCCTTTATTTTCCAACTACCAGTAGGTGAAATAGTAGTTTATGCTACTAGTTTATAATGTTAAGCTTTATTGCAGTACATGTTTTGAAAACGAGCGACGTTAGGAGCAAGTTTTTGAATTTGTACGAATGCAACAAAGCAACATTTTATTCCTGTTGCATACACTATTTTTTTGTAAAACCGTTATAAATTTATAAGAGGAACAACCTTAAGTTTGCAAAACAACTTTCTTGGGACATTTCGGGTATTTGACATTTGTGCGAGAAAACGGTGGTCGGCTGTTCCGTTTATCTTTAGCGCCCCACGATTCTCCCGCTGCGATTGGCTGACAATGTGATGACGCAATCATTCGAGGCGTAAAATGCTAATGCGTCATTTGTGCCGTAAATGCCCGACTATGAACTATTTCTTGCAACAGAAAAGGGGGTTTATAATGCTGGTATAAGAAAAGTAATTTACTGGTACATGACTCGACACATGAAATTTCCTTACATGATCTTAACGTATTCAATAATTTTCATACAATATCAGTATTCGTGAAATTATTTAACATACACTCTAGAAATAGAATGTCAGTAATAATGTATTTTATTACAGACTCCGAAACTTTAATTTAGTCGTTAAATTGTAACTATTTCCCACAGGCACAATAATCCTGATGCTGTAATATATCTTAACGTTGCGATATACGAATATTTTACAGCTTTAAACTTGCAGGCATTTGTCTAAACTTTATATTGAGAAAAGTAATATCTTCTTAATACTTTTCTAACCACTCTTAAGTAGTAGTATACACGCTAATCTGCCACTGCTTTTCGAAAATCGATGCACCACGGGAGAATTCCTGAGTCACGGGTAGATCTTCGGCCGGCAGCATCTTGACGTTGGCTAGCCTGGAGGATGGGCTTTGAAAAGCTACGCTCGTTTCTTTAGGGGCAATTTGTGAGAGGGTTGACGCTTTGAATTGCGGTAGAATGCGGAAACGGAGAGCTCAGTTTCTATAGGAAGTACCTCGTAAAAATCAAATTACTTTGAAGGGTTCTATCGTACGTTCATTCGCAACTCTGGTATTAAACTTTTTGTAGCCCATAACTATTTATTGAACTTAACACTTCATGCCCTTTACTGACATTATTCGTATGTGACGTAATTTTAGTAAGAATTGCAATTTGGCGTGTTTTATTTGGAAACTACTTTTTATGACTAATTCGGAGCATGAACAAGAATATGATGACAGGTTTTTCTAAATAAATGTTTTTTTGAGTAAAGTATCATTAACGGCCTGTATATTAAATAGTCTCACAATGTAAGCTGGTAAAAATATGTTACATGGAATGGGGCGACCAAAACAAGAGAGTGAAAGTGAGACAGTGAGAGAGAAAATATGCTGCGATTGTCAGGCACCATGTGAAAGACCGGAAAATACTAGTGTGTATGGAATTGCGAGAATTGAAAAAACCATTCAGTCGATACAAGCATAAGCCATAACGAAGAGCACAATTCGGACCATACAAAACTATTGTCATTCGATAACTGTATACAAGGCATTTAGGTTGGGATATTGTGTCATGATGTACAACGTTGACGAAGATAATACGTGCATTTCTTATTATGTAAAAGCAGTGTGTAAATACACAATTCTTTACGTTTCGATCATGACAAATTTTTCAATAATAGTTTTGTATGATGTTTTGGTTATAATGAAAGAAATTAGTTTTCGAAATTTTGTTCTCGATAGCCCATTGCTGTAGATTTACAATTGAAAGGAGCTAATGTTTTACATATGGTCACTTACCTGTATTAATACGTAGGGGTTCTTGTTTTTGGAAAAATGACATTGAAGGGTAAGCTAGCAGCGTCAAGCTATATTTTTGCAAATTAAAGGAACTGTAGGAACAAGGAAGCTCAATGCAATCGAAGTGATGAGGCATGCATGATGAAATGAAAAATGATTTCGTCATTCATTAGAACAAGTTAGATAACCCCATCTATTTCATTCAATAGGCACTTGGGAAAATACGTTTTGTGAATCCATTTTGATCTGCGAATTGTTTTTCTACATCCAAAAGTGTCTCTCGTAATGAGATGTATGGTATTAGTAACTTTAAATATGGTATTAATAATTCAAAATAAATTGAAAATTAAATTGGGTGTGTTTTTCTCAAATAAAATTAATAAATGAATTACATCATCAACAGAAAATTATCTGAATACTATCTACGGCTCTCGTATTCTTTAGAAATTATCGTTATTGTACACAACCATGCACTCAACAGTATCGACAACAATAAACATGACACTGAAATTAATTCAAAACAATTTATTTGTGTCTGAGAGTTTTCATACTCAAAAGTAAAACAAGAATATACTTACGGAAAACCTGGTCGACATAATTATGAAATAAAATTTCCCTTCCCACTTTGCCCAGACTTAGGACTGGCAACGCTTCATGGCATTGGTGTGGTTAAAAATTTCATCATAATTTTATGTCACCAGGAAGATGCGGATATGAGAGGTGGTTTTTATTCACACCATAAAACATTATATTTTGAAAATTTTGACTTTAATATTTTATAAAGAGCGCATTTTTTGGTTGTGCAAATACTACTTACAAAAAGTTTAAACTAATTTTTTTTCACGACCTAAAAATATGTTCGTACAAAAAGGAAAAAACGTTCATCCATTCCGGTCATCATATGTACCAGTCCTTTTTCAAATAATTTTCAGTGACGTGTCAAGTTTTAAAATCTTAAAGTATTATTGGAAAATTTCCCAAAACTTTCTAAATCATGTTCTTGCGGAATACATAGTCATATATGAGTTTAAACCAATTCAAAAATATTACAGCTCTACTTTTAAAGATCTCTTAATCATTATTACAACTGTTGTACCGTTAGATGCAATGAATGAGTTATGTTGTCTGTACTTCAAAAATACAAACATTTCATTCCGGAATTGTTTTATCTGTTTGATCTTCAACGTGATCCTGATTTATTTTGTATATACGTGTATGTATTTATTTTGTATATACAACTCTTGAAAAATCTGATTACCTGATATTTGAAATTTGTGATGAAAAAGTATGATAAATCTGTGTAAAACTCCCGGCACCAGATAATTAAAAACGTAGAACTCTGGTGCTTTAATCATTTAAGCAAAAACAAATTTCGAAAGATTTATGCCTTATTTATCACTTAGACAAGAAAACATAATGTTTTCATTTGTGTTCAAAAGAACAACCTTCTCTCCACATTTGCCTGGGAATAAAATTTGTGGCTGCTCTGTTGCCACTGCTTCACCAAAGTCCTGTCCATTCCGTCTAGTGCTAGCTAGGTGATTCGTGCGTTGGGCGTCTGTTCGTAGCAAGTGCTAATGTCCAAGGAAGAGTAAGGTGCGGTGGTGCCTTATGGTGCTTTTTTAGGTGCGAAAGTTTGAAAGGATTGGAATGAGGCTGTCAATCCAGAGGGGTATAAAAGATGTGGTGAAAAATGTACGGCATATACAATTTTTTTGAAGAGTTGAATTGTATTTGTGCCTTTGTACTTATGATTTTCAACAACACATTCTAGTCACCTAATACAAGCATCTATCAACGTAAAAAGAAGTTATGTTAGTAAATTCAATTTCTGTTGGTAGGAAGATTTCACGATCATACTAAAATACTTACTCTCTCCTCTCAATAAATCTCTTGTGAATTATGTAACTGAAGGAGAGAATTAATTTTTGAGACCTAACATCTTCTGACAGATTCTGGAATTTGAAATATAGAGGTTCTCTCTCGTTTATAGTTTACGGGGGAGATTATCAAGCCATCTGTGACCAACCCCCTCTGGATACGCCGCAGGGTGCACGGAAGTGCTACAAGTTGCAAATGATAAAGGGACTTTTTTGAGAGTAATGGCAAGAAAGAATAATAAAGTTTTAGATTTGCTCAGAATCCTGTGCAGCAAGCAAGCAGAAAATGTATATGACAACGTGTTGAATATGAAAACCATTGTGATGAGTATTTTTCAGCGTAAATGAAGTAGTAAAAATTAATTTGATTGAGCGTGAGACATAATGCTGGCTGAGTTAAATTCATCTCATTTGCGCTTTATGATTGATATATTAAAATGCGCTGGAGTATGACATTGTGGAAATGATGCAAAATAATTTAATTATTTTAGTGATTGTTTCGTTTTAGTTAAACGATTGAAATAATGGCTTAAATTACTTTTATAAAATGTTAATAAACTGCCAGATTTGCACAGTGCTCAAAAGCTTTTTTAACAAAAGAGGTAAAAGTAGCTAATACCAAATTTCAAGAATGAATAAACTCAGTAGTTGATATTTTCTCAAAGAAATTTGAATAGAAATTTGATTCAAATGTCACGCTTGAATATTGAATTACAAATTATCATAATAAATGTAGATAGGGAAAGAAGATACAAAACTGAAGGAAGATTAAGGATTTACTGGCTGTTACGATTAGCAATTGGGATGATATGTCACAAGAGTGGTGAGTGTTGAATTATGGATGGTGAAAATGGATGTGTCTACGTCTATCGTGAAGTGTCGTGGTTGTAATAGTATAGAAGTATTCCAGAGTTATTAGTGAAAAATGTCTGTTGTCGATGCGTATGTCAGTTGGAGTGGGCGTTTAATTGTTGTCGATTTCTTTGGGTTTATTGGGATAATGCGTATCCTATTGATACGAATGTTAGAGTGCAGAGAATTCTCATATTTTTCAATAGGGAGGTGAAGTATTTGGGTTGATGACTGCATATATTTTGAACATCGGAGGCTAAAGATATTTGTAAGATCTATGATACACACTACTTAACTTTTCAATATATTACGTCTGTTTCGTATATTTAAAAACGTTTCGGCCCAATACGTTATTACCGCAATTTTGACCGTCTATATTACAATATTTTTATCAGATCTGGATTAGAATATTTTTATGCGTAT